AGATGGTGAGGGCGTACCACATCCCCAAGAACATATGGCTGCGGACAGGCGGGCAGAATGAGAGGGCGTGCACTGTGTCGCAAACGGGCTGGATACCAGTGTACGTGGACCACTTTGACGCCGGCCTGCGATTTCCCCTGCCCGGATTCGTGTTCGACCTGCTGGCGGAGTACGAGCTGGCGCTGACGCAGCTAACGCCCAACAGCATAAGGTTTGTCACGGGCTTTATGCTGTTGTGCGCGAGATTGGGGGTGCCAGCTAAAGCAATAGTGTTCAGGTCGCTATTCCAGTGCCGGTTGTGCCCGAAGCCACAAGGAGCGAGATGGTACTACCTCTCTGGGAGGGATAAGAGCCAATTGTTCAAGAATGTCCGGAACAAAGTGGCGAGATGGAAGAGGCAGTTCGTGTTTGTTCGCGACACGCGGACAGAGAGGATAAGTAACGACCTCGCTGCCCGGCTATCCGAATGGCGAACCCCGAACGCCCACATCAACTACCCCCAGCTGCTGCCCCGGGATGTCGACCTGAAGAACCAGCTGCTTCAGTATGCGCAGGGGGAGGGTTTGATAGATCTAGAGGCCCTGGTTACCTCGGAGCAGCTCGCCGTGTTCGGGTTTGTCGATATGACAAACCTGATTAGCGAAGGTATATTTTCATTTTATAACATGGATTCTAGCCGAACTGAGGCTTATACATTTGTTTGTGCAGGTGAAATGAGCAGCATACTGGAACGTCAACGTCAACGTGCCCAGAGTTCCCGGGGGCGTGGGGCGAGCAGCGCGCAACCCCGGCAAACAAGGTTCGACGAGCGGCCACCCCCAGCGCCTCAACCATGCAGCTCTTCGCACCGGGGATCCAGCTCGTCGTCCAGGCCGCGAGCAGATAACAGAGCTGAGGCTGCGGCCCCAAGTGCACGTAGACGTGCACGGGAGGAGATAGAGAGCGAGGAGGACGAGGTCCCCCTTGCTAGGCGCATGAGAAGTGGGGGGACTCAGCCCGCACAGGCAGCTCGCCCTACAACGGTGCGTTCGCCCAACGCACCGTCAGCGACTGTGCGGGCAGCAGTGGAGCCCGCCACTGCTTCTACCTCTATGGGCCC